CATGAAAATTTCCCATAAAATTTATTACTTATAAATTTTAATTATTTTTTACTAATAAATAAAATTTGTCATAATTATTACACAATAAACTGCCACTAGACATCTAGGAAATATTAATTTTAATTCGCAATTTTTAATTAATATTTAACAAAAGTCCATTTAAATGTTCATTAAAACTCATTCGTTTTTTTCATTTTTTTTTTTTGTAAATTATTAATAATGAGTTTTTCACTGATTACTGACTGGCAACGATTGTCAGTGGAGTTAAACAAATAAATTCCCATTAGATTACTCAGAATTATTTGTAACTAAGGGAAGGAAATGTAAATCAAAGTTTGTATTTAAATATTGTATTTTTTTTCATTCATAGCTGAAATGGGATTCATTTAGTTTGCGGATATAAAGAGAAAAAGTCAAGAGAAAATACAAAATTAATAAAACAATAGACATTAAGTTAATGATTAAAAAAATAGGTAACACTATGTGAATGAGGTGGTAGACGGGAGAGGCAAAAGGGGCGAAGTCAGCAAAGCTAGGTGCAGAAGAAGAACAAAACGGGAGAAGGGGCGGAAGAGGGGAGAAGAGAACGAAACGAACGAACGAACGAACGAAAACGAAACGAACGAACGAACGAACGAACGAACGAACAGAACGAACGAACGAAACGAACGAACGAACGAACGAACGAACGAAGAACGAACGAACGAAACGAACGAACGAAGAACGAACGAACGAACGAACGAAGAACGAACGAACGAACGAACGAACGAACGAACGAACGAGAACGAACGAAACGAACGAACGAACGAACGAACGAAACGAACGAACGAACGAACGAACGAACGACTAACGAACGAACGAACGAACGAAAACGAACGAAAACGAACGAACGAACGAACGAAAAACGAACGAACGAACGAACGAACGAACGAACGAACGAACGAACGAACGAACGAACGAACGAACGAACGAACGACAACGAACGAACGAACGAACGAACGAACGAACGAACGAACGAACGAACGAACGAACGAACGAACGAACGAACGAACGAACGAACGAACGAACGAACGAACGAACGAACGAACGAACGAACGAACGAACGAACGAACGAACGAACGAAAACGAACGAAGAAACGAACGAACGAACGAACGAACGAACGAACGAACAACGAACGAACGAACGAACGAACGAACGAACGAACGAACGAACACAGAACACGAAAGAACGAACGAACGAACGAACGAACGAACGAACGAACGAACGACGAAACGAACGAACGAACGAACGAACGAACGAACGAACGAACGAACGAACGAACGAACGAAGAACGAACGAACGAACGAACGAAACGAACGAACGAACGAACGAACGAAAAACGACAACGAACGAAGAACGAACGAACGAACGAACGAACGAACGAACGAACGAAACGAACGAACGAACGAAGAACGAACGAACGAACGAACGAACGAAAACGAAACGAACGAACGAACGAACGAACGAACGAACGAACGAACGAAACGAACGAACGAACGAACGAACGAACGAACGAACGAACGAACGAACGAACGAACGAACGAACGAACGAACGAACGAACGAACGAACGAACGAAACGAAGAACGAAGAACGAACGAACGAAGAACGAACGAACGAACGAACGAACGAACGAACGAACGAAACGAACGACAACGAACGAACGAACGAACGAACGAACGAACGAACGAAACGAACGAACGACGACGAACGAACGAAGAACGAACGAACGAACGAACGAACGAAACGAACGAACGAACGAACGAACGAACGAACGAACGAACGAACGAACGAACGAACGAACGAACGAACGAACGAACGAACGAACGAAAGAACGAACGAAACGAACGAAGAAAGAACGAACGAAACGAACGAACGAAACGAACGAACGAACGAACGAACGAACGAACGAACGAACGAACGAACGAACGAACGAACGAACGAAACGAACGAACTAACGAAGAACGAACGAACGAAGAAACGAACGAACGAACGAACGAACGAACGAATAACGAACGAAAGAACGAACTAACGAACTAACCAAAACGACAACTAGAAACTAACGAACTAACGAACTACTAACTAACTAACTAAAACGTAACTAACACTAACGAACTAACTAAACTAAACTAACTAAAATAACAAACTAACTAACTAACTAACGAACAACTAACAACTAACCGAACTAACCTACAACTATAAACCAAACTAACTAACGAACTAACTAATACTAACTAACTAAACTACCACAACTAAACTAATAACTAAAGAACTAACATACTAACTACTAACTAACTAACTAACTAACTACTAACTACAACCTAACTAACTAACTAACAACTACTAACTAACGCAACTACTACTACTAACAACGAACTAACTACACTAACTAACTAATAACTAACTAAACTAACACACTAACTAACTAACTAATAACTAACTAAACTAACTAACTAACTAATAACTAAAAACTAACTAACTAACATATAGATTGGATTATGGCGAAAAAATAGAACCCTGAGACCAAGATATACTTTTAAGCATTAAATCACAATCAGATTTTCTCCATCATATTTGGATTTGAGATATCTTGTTCAGTGTTTTAAACTAAAACTACGTTTTTTCAAACTTCAGGACATGTTATCGAATACCAGATGGGATTGAAGAAATCTGAGGCCAGATTCGATTTAGCGCAGTCCATCCAATGCTTTAGAAATTTATATTTTGATATCCGTCTCTTATAATTTGTCTGCCTGTGGTATTATTTGAAACCTTGTAAAGTCTTCTTCAATTTAATGGAACATCTCTAGAGATAAGTATGTATGATAAGCTCTCAGAGTTATGATTTGATTGTTGGTTTTAAGTAAATATTTTAATGATAACATGAATTATCAAACAGTTACTTACCTCTCAATATCATATAGTATAATACACAGACATAATAACTATAATAATATGTAAAAACCCCCATTATCCTGGGCATACTTTGCCCAAAAAGCTTAAAATAAATAAAACACTTGTTAAACAAATAAATTTTCTTTCATATTTTTTGGTTTATCTCATTTTTTGCAAATAATTTATAATCCAGTTTTTATTATTGATTATTTACTTTTTAAGCGTTTATAAATCCTTAAAACATAAGGCTATTTATTCTTTCTTTTCAAGTTGTTGTTATTTATAATATTTGTTTTGTATGTCGTGTCTTATGTAGCCAAAGGTCTGTTAGTCATGCGTGTTTTTTAAGTAGTCTGTAGGATCTTCGGTCATTCGTCTTTGTTTTTATTTGCTGAATTTTAACCTTTATCCCAAAATTCTGTGTGTAAATCTTTTTATTTAGGTTTTTCTTTAGTTTTATTTGTGTTATAAGTATTTTGTTTAAGTATACTTAACTAGTTTTAGATTTTATTTAATTTCTTAATTTGTATTCTTTAATATTATTTATATTTATTGTAATTTTATTTAAACTTATCTTTAAAATCCTTGCCCTTAATACTATAAATCCTTCTTACAAAAAAGTATCCATTTTTTTAAAATTTTGCTTTTGTTTATTGTTATTTTTTTTAATATTTTGTTTTTTTTTTGGTTTATCTTATCAATTTGTATTATTTTTTTTTTAGGGATTTTTATTAACATTTTTAAATATAATTTGTTTGTTGTTGGCTAAAATTTAAGAAGAAAATTTGATTTTGTCTTTATCGTTTTAGTTATTTTAGAGTTTTATTTTGAGTAGAGTTTTTTATTTGTATTTTTTGTGGATTTTATTTTGTTGTGGCTGGACTGATGAGGGGAATTATTAAGAAATTGTGAAATTTAGTTTTTCAATTAAAAACTAATTAACTAAAAATCTCTCAGAATTTACCGAATGTGATATAAAATTGTATATCAATGAAATTTTAAAGATAGCAAGACTAGTTTCCCTATAAGTTCTCATTTTCTAGAGAACGTTTTATTTTTTGTCATTAACCGGTGTTGGTTAAGCCATGTCCGTCTGTCTGCCTGTCTGTCTTTAAGTATGTCTGTCAATCTGTCTGTCTGTCAGTCAGTCAGTCAGTCAGTATAAGTCCTCATTTGCGTGAGAACGTTATATTTTTTGTCATTAACCGTTGCTGGTTAAGCCATGTCCGTCTGTCTGCCTGTATTTAAGTATGTCTGTCAATCTGTCTGTCTGTCTGTCTGTCTGTCAGTCAGTCAGTCAGTCAGTCAGTCAGTCAGTCAGTCTGTCTGTCTGTCTGTCTGTCTGTCCGTCTGTCTGTCTGTCTGTCTGTATGTTTGTACAACATACAGCCTGGTATGTGTTGTTCTTGTATACAGATTGCTTGTTGTTAAAAACTAAACAGAGCAAGAAGAATAAATAACTTATGAAGCTGTATGTTGCTATTGTTTTGTTATTGCCAAAGTCAGGGATCATGATTCTACAGAACATGATTCTAGAATACCTCTTATAGATTCTCATACAATCAACAATGTTATGTTTCTATGTTCAATAATACGAAAAATTCAAGAAACTTCAAAAAGTACCATTTGATGAATGAATGAACGTTCCCTTTTCTTATTCAATCACTTTTCCTTTCATCCAGGGAAAGACTTTTCCAAGGATTAAGTTTTGAAAATACTCACAGATAAAACTCACATGATATATGTATGTACATTAGGGTCGCTCCAAAATGGACGTGGCTGATGTTCCCAACGAAAATGAAAATTTAGTTCATTCTAAGATACCAGATCTAAGTACGCCAGGACAAAGTTTTTGAGAAATGGTATCTTAGAATCCATTAAACTTTAATTTTAGTTGGGAACATTGACACTTTATTTTTCCTCCATACAAACGGGGCCACCCTAACATACATAAGTCATTTACTCAGATTAGTATGCATGTACCAAACTTTACTAGAAATTGGTCCTATAAAAGTAGAACTTAGTACCTCAATTCCAAGTAACACACTAGTAACTTAGTTTGTGTGAATAAATTAACTAATTTTTCCAATTTTATAAAAATAGTTGAAAGAGTTTGAACAAATCTAAATTTCCTATTTCCCCCTTTTTTCCATCGATTTTTTTATATCAAAAAAAAAAAGATAATTAGGAAATCCAGTTTTGCCCGTTTTACCCCTTTTTTACGCCTAATTATATGAATTTTTCAAAATTTCATGATTCTAGGTTTAGCCGTTTGGATTGTGCGATGGCAATCAGTAACGCGACCCTTTTCAGAGCAAGTTTAATCGTCTAAACACTAAACCATATAAAGTTGAACAAGTTTCTGACCTCTAAACTATGCGAAAGTGTAACTCTGAAACAGTTTATCTGTAATTGATAGACTTTCTTCGAAATTCGTTTAAAATTTAAAAGAACTATGCCTAGTAAAGTGAGTTCTTAAAGTTTAAAATATTTTTATAAAGAAATAAAATTTCCCATCATCAGTATGATTAAAGCCAAAAACTTATAATGTTATTTTATTATTAATTTTATTATAACTAAATAAATTAGCAATACATACATATACAATAGCAAATATTCTTTTTTAAATTAAAATAAAACAAATAATATATATTTTTTGAAAACAAAGTTATGAAAAAGAAAATTCAAGAAAACATATAATTTTTTTTTTGTTGTTATTTAATAAGAGCGTTTTGTAAATTTAACTAACCAATTATTACTATTCATACCAAAGGAGCTACCATTATTATTATTATTTTTATTATTTTTCGTTTTAACCAAAGCATTAACAAGATTTTTTCTACAACTAGCAACGCCCAACACCCTCATACCAGCAGCTGTCACAGCAGCAGCATTATCATCATTCCCTCGCTCCCCTTTTAACAGGGATAATTGTGTTTGGTTGACTGCTTTAGCTGTTATTGCTGACGTTGTTGTTAAATTTCACTGTATCAGCGGTGAATGTTGAGAATTTTCACTAAAATCTACTGTATAATACATATCGTTTTCCAAGTTCATGGCCAAATGACGTTGAAAGGGCCGTTCGTTTAATTGACCAACATGTGTATGTTGCTGTCCTGTTGTAGCCGATGACGCTTTTGCGGTTGGCAAATGTCCAACACTATTTCTTTGTGACGATGCAGCAGCACCCGTTGTCGCATGCAAGGCGGATGTTGATGATGTTGTTGCATTGCCACCACCTCGCATTGCATTGCCAATGCCCAAACCTTTGCCACTCAACCAATGTCTGCTAATTTTTGATGTTGCCTGTTTGGTGCGCAAACGAAAACCGAGTATGGGCAGAAAACCATATGTACGTGTTGAGAATTTTCGATACGTTTGATTTACTTTACAATGGCAGATGGTGAGCTGTAATTAGAGTGAAATGTAAAGTAAGATGGGGTGTTTAAGTATAAAATTCTAATAGAGAATTATATAATGGGTTTTCAATTAAAGGAGAGTTTTAAATAGTTATAATTTTAGACTTTTGTCCTTGCTAAAAGGATTTAGTATTTCGACGTTTTAGTTAAATATTTTTGAAAATTTTAAAAATATCTTAATACTAGACAAAGCTAAATTAATGAAATTAATAATTAATTCAAAATTCTTTCTCTTATAATCTTTCTAAATTCTTATTCATTTAAATTTTTTCTTAAATAACTGCAACCTTAAAAACTAAAATTCTAATTAAAATTTTCCCCATACAAAAACGATTCTATTCTTTTACTCGTTTAATGTCCCAAAAAGCCACAATTTATTATTCATACAAAATGCAAACATTGTAATTTATTGCTAAAAACAAGAAAATGTCACACAATTAAAGTGGCAACGCATAAAACAAACAACAATTAAAATCAGATGAAAGACCACAGGGGAGAGGGAGTTTATTTTTAATTAAATAAAAAGAAAATACCAAAAGTATGCAAATTTATAACCCAATCATAAACATTTAACTAAATCAATATTGTTATATTTTTCAAAACACAAACTGTATAACAAAAACAATTTATAAAAGGAGTCTTTTTCTGATATTTTTTTTGTTAAATTTTTTGGCAATAAAAACATTTGCATAAATGTTTATTGAAAAGAAAAACTGTGTCGGCTTAATTGGACTTTATTTCAATTTTGATAAAATATTAATTAAATATGATGAAAGGCAGTTGAAAAATTTGGGACAATAAGTAAAAGTGGTTTTTCTACTGTTCAGAAGATCGCTTTTGAAGATGGAAGTACTAAATTTATGTTTATTCTTACTATACCGCAGATGTTTGTTTTCCCTTTTTAAAGAAAAAGGTATGTAAAGACATCAATGCGTATGATTAACATTGAATTTTATTTTGAATTGAATAATCAACATACGTCCTGGTGGTTAAAATGTCATCGTCGAAAAAACTGGTTAGTTTCGTTAGTATTAGTTAGTTAGTTAGTTAGTAGTTAGTTAGTTAGTAGTAGTTAGTTAGTAGTAGTTAGTTATTAGTAGTTAGTTAGTTAGTTAGTTAGTTAGTTAGTTAGTTAGTTAGTTAGTTAGTTAGTTAGTTAGTTAGTTAGTTAGTAGTTAGTTAGTTAGTTAGTTAGTTAGTTAGTTAGTTAGTTAGTAGTTAGTTAGTTAGTTAGTAGTTAGTTAGTTAGTTAGTTAGTTATAGTGATTTAGTTAGTAGTTAGTTAGTTAGTTAGTTAGTTAGTTAGTAGTTAGTTAGTTAGTAGTTAGTTAGTAGTTAGTTAGTTAGTTAGTAGTTATTTAGTTAGTTAGTTAGTTAGTTAGTTAGTTAGTTAGTTAGTTAGTAGTTAGTTAGTGTAGTTAGTTAGTTAGTTAGTTAGTTAGTTAGTAGTTAGTTAGTTAGTAGTTAGTTAGTTAGTTAGTTAGTTAGTTAGTAGTAGTTAGTTAGTTAGTAGTAGTTAGTTAGTTAGTTAGTTAGTTAGTTAGTTAGTTAGTTAGTTAGTTAGTTAGTTAGTAGTTAGTTAGGTAGTAGTAGTAGTTAGTTAGTTAGTTAGTTAGTTAGTTAGTTAGTTAGTTAGTTAGTTAGTTAGTTAGTTAGTTAGTTAGTTAGTTAGTTAGTTAGTTAGTTAGTTAGTTAGTAGTTAGTAGTAGTTAGTTAGTTAGTTAGTTAGTTAGTTAGTTAGTTAGTTAGTTGTTAGTTAGTAGTTAGTTAGTTAGTTAGTAGTTAGTTAGTTAGTTAGTTAGTTAGTTAGTAGTTAGTTAGTTAGTTAGTTAGTTAGTTAGTTAGTTAGTTAGTTAGTAGTTAGTTAGTTAGTTAGTTAGTTAGTTAGTAGTTAGTTAGTTAGTTAGTTAGTTAGGTAGTTAGTTAGTTAGTTAGTATGTAGTTTAGTTAGTTAGTTAGTTAGTTAGTTAGTTAGTAGTTTAGTTAGTTAGTTAGTTAGTTAGTTAGTTAGTTAGTTAGTTAGTTAGTTAGTTAGTTAGTTAGTTAGTTAGTTAGTTAGTTAGTTAGTTAGTTAGTAGTTAGTTAGTTAGTTAGTTAGTTAGTTAGTTAGTTAGTTAGTTAGTTAGTTAGTTAGTTAGTAGTTAGTTAGTTAGTTAGTTAGTTAGTTAGTTAGTTAGTTAGTTAGTTAGTTAGTATAGTTAGTAGTTAGTTAGTTAGTTAGTTAGTTAGTTAGTTAGTTAGTTAGTTAGTTAGTTAGTTAGTTAGTTAGTTAGTTAGTTAGTTAGTTAGTTAGTTAGTTAGTTAGTTAGTTAGTTAGTTAGTTAGTTAGTTAGTTAGTTAGTTAGTTAGGTTAGTAGTTAGTTAGTTAGTTAGTTAGTTAGTTAGTTAGTTAGTTAGTTAGTTAGTTAGTTAGTTAGTTAGTTAGTTAGTTAGTTAGTTAGTTAGTTAGTTAGTTAGTTAGTTAGTAGTTAGTTAGTTAGTTAGTTAGTAGTTAGTTAGTTAGTTAGTTAGTTAGTTAGTTAGTTAGTTAGTAGTTAGTTAGTTAGTTAGTGTAGTTAGTAGTTAGTTAGTAGTTAGTTAGTTAGTAGTTAGTTAGTTAGTTAGTTAGTTAGTTAGTTAGTTAGTTAGTTAGTTAGTTAGTTAGTTAGTTAGTTAGTTAGTTAGTTAGTTTAGTTAGTTAGTTAGTTAGTTAGTTAGTTAGTTAGTTAGTTAGTTAGTTAGTTAGTTAGTTAGTTAGTTAGTTAGTTAGTTAGTTAGTTAGTTAGTTAGTTAGTTAGTTAGTTAGTAGTTAGTTAGTTAGTTAGTTAGTAGTTAGTTAGTTAGTTAGTTAGTAGTTAGTTAGTTAGTTAGTTAGTTAGTTAGTTAGTTAGTTAGTTAGTTAGTAGTTAGTTAGTTAGTTAGTAGTTAGTTAGTTAGTTAGTTATCAGCTGCAAAACAAACAGAAAGTTTTCAAAATATGTACACTGAACGAAAAAATATGTAATTAAGTTCTGCTTTTAGCTACGTTAAATTAATTTTTAAACTACTAAATACCTCTAAACATTTAACCTCATTACCCTCTAATATACCCACACATTCTTACAATAACCACTACTTACATAGAGAGCGACAAAGAAGATGACTAATGCCAGAACAATGGCCGCCGTATATGCATTGTGCAATTCAATGGGACTTTTTAAAACAACCGATGAACCAAAACTTTTGTCATTAAAATTCCGAGCACTAGTATCATCAACCATAAATTCACTGGAACTAACAACAGTTTCTACAACAAATTCATCTGGTTATGTTGTTGTAGTTATTTTTTGTTTGTTTGTGGTAGTTGTTTTGTTGTGTTTTGTTAGCCAGTTTTCCATTTGTTGGCAAAGTTAGTATACAGCGTTGTAGACAGGGGAAAATATATAAGTAGAAAGGGGAGAAATAACAAAATAAATTAGAATAAACAAATAACAGCAAGAAAAAATATTAAATTAATATCAAATATAACTCCAACAACAAACAGAGTTTTGTAAGCAAATAAAAATACCTATAGATATCTATGTATACATAGAACCTAATGTTTATATGCAAGTGGTTTCTAAAAACCAGGAAGAAAGTTCTGTCGATCATAACCGACCATGAGATACCTTACTTACCTTACCTTAACTTACTAACTTACTTACTTACTAACTTACTATACTAACTTACTAACTTACTAACTTACTACTTACTAACTTACTAACTTACTAACTTACTAAATTACTAACTTACTAATTTACTAACTTACGAACGTATTAACTACTAACTTACTAACCTACTAACTTACTAACTTATTAACTTACTAACTGACTATCTTACTAACTGACTATCTTACTAACCTACTAACTTGCTAACTTACCAACTTACTAACCTACTGCCTTACTAACATACCAGATTTGCATTAAGCTCTAATACCTTCTAGTATTGTAGCGTAATATGATAACACATTTACTAAACTAAAAAATAACAATATAAATATTGTTATGGTTGTTTGGTTAAATACGTACTTTTTCTTTGTGTGAGAAAACACATACTAATACACACTTATGCATGTGTGTGGTGTTAATGTAGTTTATTAATTTGTAGTATTGTGGTTTGTACTAATACTAACATACAATTACTAAAAAAGTGAATATTTTAGTTTAGTACATACGCTGGCATTAAGAGGGTATATCTAGAAATACATTTTTGTTTTATCATGCTTTGGATTCCGGAAAGACGATATCAGAAGATTTTTAATAATGATCCACAAAGGAATCAACGTAATAGATCCAAGTGTGACTTCGGTGATGACAACACATACACAACCTGCTAATCTGATCCAGCTTTATAGTTCATCAATTCGTTATACTGGTTATATCTATATATTGTCTATATATTGAAAACATAAAAAGTACATCCCTAGTTTTGACGTAAGACTTGAAGATGAGAGATTTTGATCGCTTTCTTTTCGATTGAACCTAAATTGCTATAAATTGCATACCTCATCTCTAAGTCCCACTGTGTTTTTAAGAGACATATAATTCGATTATGGGACAAGCGTAGGTAGGTAATGTTTGAGACTCAGGATCATATGAAAAGTATACTTTTCATATGGTCCTCGTATCTATATATATTGTGTAAGTGTGTATGTATTGAATAATAACTATTATTATGTATTTATATTGAATATTAAAAGTTTTGTTTATACATTAAACTTGATCCTTATTGGAAAAATTTTGTTTACAAATCACAGTTCTTCTTTTAGTTTTTCTGAATAATAATTTCGATAATAAGCGAGAAAGTTTTGTTATAATCTTGTAAATTAAACATCAGAATTAATTTTGTGCATTAAGTTAAAGAAAACCTAGACGAATTTAATGTTATTTTTATTTATTTATATTTCTAGTGTCGTCAATTTTTGTATTCAGCAACAGAAGAGTTTCCTTTATGGGTTACTAAAGAGAATAGCCTATTACTTAATAGCTAGGCGGTTTTAAAATGTCTTTAGGTATTTACAAAATTTCCTCTTGGGATTTATAATTCAGCTATGAACATAATAATAAAGATTTTTTTTAAATAATATTTTTTCTATAGTCTGTGTCAGAACATGTTTTTCCTGAGTTGCTGTTGTTGTTATTGATATTAATTTAATGTATGTGTATATATTTTCCTTTACAACAATAATTTTACCTTTATTTTTTGATATTTTACAACAATTACTCACCTTCACACATAGTACCCGTATAACCAGGTCGACAGGCACAATAAAATGAATCCCCCACTAGACCAGCAGGTGCCACCATGTGTACATGGATTACATTACATTGCTGAAAATGTAAATGAGTGGAAACAAATTTTATATTATTTTATGTTGAAAAAAAATTAATAGTTTTTGCAGAGCGACAGTAAATTAAAGGTATGTTTTTTTTAATATATTCCAAATTTTGGATTTTGTCTATATTACTTTTCTTTTAAATTACTGAATTTTGTTAAAATATTTATCGTTTTCATGGTAAAACGAAGCCATATGTGTGTGTAAAATATTTCCCAAAAATGTAAAATTTGTGGTAAATTTATTGAAATTAATTGTTTAGAAATTTTATTATGGAAACTAACAATTATTCTATAATTTTATAAATAACAATAATTGTAAATTGGTTTTCGTAATTTATGCAGTCATGACATACAAATTTTGGCTAAAAAAAGCTTTATGTAAAATAAATTATAATTTTGTGTGAAACCAATTACGAGTATGTATTATACTTACTAGATAACTTCCCCATTGGAAATAGATTAAGTAAAATTGGATCTCTCCATCCTCTACATTTAAATCCTACATCAAGTACCTCTTCCTTTCTATTTCTATCAAAATTGAAATTTACCTTTTATGTAAATGTTATTTTTTTTTACCACAAATTTACTTAATCAACCAAATATTTGTTAACACATTTTTTTACACAAAACAAACTTATAGTAGTTTTTACCTTATTCTATAAAATGTTTTTTCTTCTCTCTTTATTTCCATAATTTGCTTGTTTTTATTCATGCAACTCAAATTCAAGTGTAAGGAAATATTTATTCATAACTATTTTTTGTTCAAGCATATTTTTATATTTTCCACTCCTTTCTGTTTGGATTTTCTGCTAGCTTCTAGCACTCTACACCTCCTAAGATCATTGTTTCGTTGCATTTTCTGCATCAATGTCAGTCAGAAAACTTATTTTTAAACCGGTGTAGTTTATCTTTTAGTCTGTCTTGACCAATTTTACTTTTATACTTGTTTTCATTATTGTTATTTTCTTTTTTTTTTCCTGCATACTAACCGTTCGTTGCATTTCATTACAATTGGTTCCATTGCGTCCCCCGAGGCATTCACAGTCTGTCGTCATTACATGTATCAATGCAACGACGTCCTTCAGGACATGGTTTATTAGCCGCAAAAATCCACCTTGAATAGATAAAGAAATAACTAGAGTAAAAACAAATATTGAAGCAGTAACATGGTGTGTTATAACCTCAAGGAAGTTTATATGGGTATGGAATGGGTCTAGTAGATTTTGTGTAAAAATTTAATTATTGAGAGGAATTTTTGATAATTTTTTTTTTTTAAATGTGCATGATAAATTTTAACTGTATTTTATACAAGAGATATAAAGTGGTCGGTTTCCTAATTTCAGTTCAGTTCAGTAGAAATCGGTTTGCATATTATTGGAAAATAAATAAGTTCAGCAACTGAACTTAACTAGAACTGAACTAGAACTGAACTAGAACTGAACTAGAACTGAACTAGAACTGAACTAGAACTGAACTAGAACTGAACTAGAACTGAACTAGAACTGAACTAGAACTGAACTAGAAACTGAACTAGAACTGAACTAGAACTGAACTAGAACTGAACTAGAACTGAACTAGAACTGAACTAGAACTGAACTAGAACTGAACTAGAACTGAACTAAACTGAACTAGAACTGAACTAGAACTGAACTAGAACTGAACTAGAACTGAACTAGAACTGAACTAGAACTACTAGAACTGAACTAGAACTGAACTAGAACTGAACTAGAACTGAACTAGAACTGAACTAGAACTGAACTAGAACTGAACTAGAAACTGAACTAGAACTGAACTAGAACTGAACTAGAACTGAACTAGAACTGAACTAG